TTCATCTTTTGTCTCTCCTCTTGGTCCATGCAATAGCTAAATGGATCATCCTGTGAGCTTACCCTGTGCTTCCCCATTGATGTGCCGAAAGATAGTTAGTTACTTGTCCTGGACAGCGTTCCTCACCTGCTCCTGATGGACAATATTCATTAATAGTGGCACTTTTGGGGCGTCTGGGTGACTCTGTTGGTTGACCATCCAACTCTTGATTTCAGCTCAGGTCATGAACCTAGGGTCATGGGATTGAGTCATGCATTGGGCTCCATGCTGTGTGTGGAGCCTGTTTAAGATTCTTTCTCTCTCTCTCCCTCCCTCTGCCCCTCCCCTGCTTGCTCTCTCTCTCTCTCTCTCTCTCAAATTAAAAGAAAAATAGCACTCTTTACCACTCTGCCCACATAATCTCTCAGTGCCAAGACAGCCGTTACAAATGGATTGCCATTTGCACAAGAAATAGAATTTGTTTGTTATCGTATCATTAAATTGTAAGCTCTTGGATGGCAGAGGCTATGTATTTCTTATTTTTCCTAAGACACTAAAAATAGTGTGTTGGGGACATGCTAGGTATCTGATTAATGTTTGTTGAATGAACAAAAAACCTTGTTTGAAAGCATTTACCATCTGGCTTCCAGACTGGAACTTGTGGGTCGTGGTTTCAATCTGGTTACATGTACGTGGTTAACTTTGATCTTCATGACAATTCTGGACCATAGACAATATGATTATCCCCATTTCAGTAGGGGAAGCTCACACACCAAGCCATTTGCCCAGATTTGATCCCTGATTTGCAAGACTCCAAGGCTGATGCTCTTAATCACTGCACATGCGGGTGCATATGCTTGTGGCGTGTTGAGGCTTTCATTGCTCCCGAGTCGGCTGCTGTTTAGAAGCCAATTTGAATAACTCAGGAGACATATTTCCCAGCATCTTTGCTTGGCTGGTTACAGGAACTCCGCTGCTTCTGCTCAAGGCAGAGAATGCAAAACCACTTACGTTAGACAGTCCAGGCTGCTATAATCACGTATCATAGACTGGGTGGCTTCTAAACACCAGAAATGTGTTTTGTACAGTCTGGAGGCTGGAGGTCTGAAATTGAAATCAGTGTGCTAGCACGGTCAAGGTCTTGGGAGAACCTTTTTCCTGTTGCACACCACCAATGCCTTTCTATCCTCACACAAGGGAGAGAGAAAGCGAGAGGAAGCTCTCTTGGGACTCTCATCAGAGCAGCGGTCTCATTCTCACTCAGGATGGGGTCTCCATCCTCGTGATTCTCACCGAACCCTGATTACATCCTGAAAGCCCACCTCCCAATACCATCACAGGGGAGAGCGGGAGAGTCACAGCATGAATTTTGGAGTGACGCAAACATTGTCCATAACTTCATTTCTTCCCCCCACAAATAAATCTAGACGTGAAATATTGAGGTCTCCATATTCTCTATTGTTTAAAAAAACAAAAGGGAAGCTACCAGGGGTTTCCCAAACATCCCATCCCTCCCTGCATTAGAAAATTGGAGCAGGGAAAAGACGCCAAGGTTGATTGTGCTTCCCATGTGCCAGGCACTGCGCTGTGTGCGTCAAGTACATCACTCTCAGGAGCATCACCCACTCATCTTAAAGACTTCACTCCAGCGTCACTTCCTCTGGGTATACTTTCCCTGACGTCCTCTTCTGTCAGACTTCATCCCTCCTTTGTGCTCCCACTTGGCCTCTAACATGGCCTCTCTGAAGCTACGTTGCATATATTGGTGTCCATTTCTGCTCATTCCCTAGACCTGCGTGCCCAAAATGGAAGTTACTAGTCACAAGGGCTCCTGAAACCTTCCAGTGTGTCCAGCCTCAGTTGAGATGTGCTGCATTAAAACACACACCAGACTTTGAAGCCTTAGTATGAAAAATACAATGTAACAACATTCCAATTCAACATGGGAATTCAACATTGACTGTATGTTGAAATGACAATATTCTGTATACTGGGTTAAATGAACATTAAAATTAAACATCTTTTTCTTTTACTTTTTTAAGGTGACTGTTAGAAAATGTAACCTTGTATGTGGCTTATACTCACGTTTTTATTAGAATAGCACAGTTTTAGGCCATGAATTTCTTAAGGAAATGTCTGTCTTGTTTTCTTTCTATCACTGGGACCAGAACAGGCTTGTGCACCCAGTAACTTTCACTAAAAACCTGTTGAACAAACGTGTGCCTTCGTTAAGATCTGGGGCTCTCGCAGATCTTCCGGTGCCAGTGATGAGACTTGAAATTTGGTTATTTCATTCCCCAGTGAAGTAACTCATCACAGTGAAGGGTCAGGGAAAGGGGAGCATTTTGGCTGGTCTCTTCGAAGTAGAAACCATATTCGTCAAGTCAAAAGACCAATTAACAAAATGAAAAGCAAAACAGAAGGGGTGCGGTGAGCTAATGGGACAACCAGAATGGGGCGTAGTTAGTAAGCCTGGAAACTGGTTAGTGGGGAGCCTCAAAAGCTTCCCCCTTTGACTTTGGAAGAAAGAGCAAATTCCCTGGAAGGGTTACAGTAGGAATGGTGGGAACTTCCCTGTCCCATATCCCCTCACTGCTCCCATATACCTTTTTTTTTTTTTTTTTTTTAATTTATTTCTAGGAGAGAGAGAGACAGCGTGAGCAGGGGAGGGTCAGAGAGAGAGGGAGTCACAGACTCTGAAACAGGCTCCAGGCTCCGAGCTGGCAGTCAGCACAGAGCCCGACGCAGGGCTCGAACCCACAAACCGCGAGATCATGACCTAAGTGAAAGTCGGACGCTTAACCGACTAAGCCACCCAGGCGCCCCTGCTCCCATATACCCTAATGGCTCCTGCGGCTGTCCATCTGAGGGCATCGTCTGGGCACAGCAGTGTGCATGGTTCACACAAGGGGTAGGTCAAGCGTGTCAGGGAATCAACACGCTGGTTGGAAATAGCTCTCTCTACCAGTGATGCATGGGAATTGATGGATAAATATGACCACGTGCTCATCTTTCAAATGAGACAGCTTGGGGGCCTGTTTACCTCTCCCGCGGTGGTAACCTGCTCATCCACTGGCTTCCCTTTCCTGTTTTATATTCCTCCCACCCCCAAGCTGTGCTTCGTGGGATCCTTGTTTCAACGTCTGATTCTGGAGGGCCCAAACAGGGCAGGGGGAATTGAGGTACTTGATGTCTCACTAGGTCCACACTTTGACCCGTCTCATATCCCTCTTCCCCCTGAACCCTGTACTTACTCTCAGTAATCACCTCCACCCCCAAACTGTCATGCCGCACCACCACATGTCCCCATTCCTTTCCACAGAGATCCAAAATTATTGACTTGGCTTTCAGAGACCTCCAAACCTGGTACCGACTTCCCATCATGCCTTTCTCCTGCTCCGTTCCATGCCCATCTGTGTGTTTCAGCCACACTCTTCTCCTCTCTACTCCTCAATATGCCCTTCAGAAGTTCTTTCTTACCTCTTTGCTTCTATACACATTTCCCTATGTGCCCCAAATGGCTTTTGAAAGGTTTACCTCCATTACTACCCAAACCTCATTTGCAGCGCTGAAAGAAATTTGTTTCCAACTGCTTGACCTCTTCCCCATTCACAGAGTTGTAAGTGAAGATGTGGATTTTAGTTTAGATTCCAGTTTTGGTTGCTGGACTGTGTTTAAATGTGACAGTGCACCAACACTGTAAGTGAGACCATGAGCTTTATATGGAGTACATGAACATTAAATAAGACTATATGAGACAATTGTTTGTGCAGGCACTTTGAGGGAATTTCACTGACAATGCAAGTAAAGTAACTTTCTATCTTGTAAATTCCAGTTTTAGGTATGTCGTGTTTTATTGACATGGAGTTTAGCTCTATTTTTTCAGCTTCCTGCTGGGAATATGGTAAACACACTAAAGCCTCCCTATTCAAGAATTCCTCTTTCATGAAATCAGCCTTGGGGATTTACTTTTGTGTACCTCTTTGATAACCTTGAGGATATTAAATCATGAAAATGAAAATGGTTGAGATGTGAGAGTTTTAAAATCAGTACTTTAGGGGCACCAGGGTGGTTCGGTTGGTTAAGCGTCTGACTTCAGCTCAGGTCATGATCTTACAGTTCATGAGTTTGAGCCCCGTGTCGGCTCTGTGCTGACAGCTCAGAGCCTGGAGCCTGCCTCGGATTCTGTGTCTCCTTCTCTCTCCACCCCTCCCCTGCTCACACTCTGTCTCTATCTCTCTCTCTCAAAATATGAATAAAAGCATTTTTAAATTGTTTTTTTTTAAATCAGTAGTTCATTGAACATTTTTTTGTTAGAGAACCAGGAAAAAAAATGCTTCTTGATATGCATAGTATTTGCTGTAAAGCAAAACAAATTTATAAACATATTCTTGAAATCAGAGGAAACAGAATACCTGAAGAGTTTCTAGGAAACAAAGGCCGGTAATTTGAAATGTGTCCTATCTCACTCTTATCTAAGCCAAGATGCATGATAGGGTGGTTAAAAGCACGGATTCTAGCATGGATCAAAAACCTGGCCCCATCAGTTACTAGCTGTGTGATCTTGGACAAGTGCAAAACCTTAATCTTCAGTTTTGTCACCTATGAAATGGGTGTAATGATAAACCCTACCTCTCAGGGCCACTGGGAGTTATCATATATATTATTTAACTATAATTTTTATCTATACAGTTCTCTTAACAGTATATAGTAGGTGCCTTATAAATGCCATCACAATTATTGCCATTATTATTTTTATCTGATGTCTTTAATCGTTGTTTAGTGGTTTGACTTTCTTGCTTGAGGAAACTTAAATGTTTTTTTTTTCTTTAAAAAAAAGCCTTTAGCTTGTCTTCTTTTGACTCCTATTTTCTCTATACCATCTTTAGTTTTTCATGTGAAGATTCTTCTATCACATATTTTTAACTTTTTTTCTTTTCCAGTCACCCACTCCTTACATTTTAATAGTGGGGATGGTTTCCCAACGGCCATGGGTGTGGGGTCACTGATGCCAGGCAAGGTTATGCTATGCTGAATACTTTATTTATATATTTTATGTAAACATAATTTGCTTTGTAGGCACAATGTAACAAAAGCTCTAAAGCCACAAATACATTAGACAATGTTTCAGTTCATTCCAATCAAGTTTAGATGAGAGAAGCCTTCACAGTTCCTTTAAGGCAAACTGAGCCTTTCTTTACATTTCCTTCAGAAAACCAATCACGTGACAGGAAGAAGGTGCTTAAAAATGAGAGTGCGTTACACGGTTAATTTTGGTATTTATCCTGTTCTTCATGACACCGCTTGACCTTGACTTCTCTTCTCACCCTGTATTCTGAGGACGCAAAAGGGTTTCTTCTTTAACCCACGGCCATAATTTGACTGTCTTAATCTTGCTAGCTAAGAAACCCACTTGGGGGAAGCATAATTTTTTTTAATGCCTCTCCTCTGGACAGAACGAAGGTCAGCAGGATTCTGCACAGAGAGTTCTCACCCCCTCGCAGAGGACAGCCCTGACGTGGCCAGTGGCTTTGTAACCCCAGCCCTAGAAAATGCCATTTCCGTTCAGCTCACCAGGAACGTCACTTGGGTGGTTCTCTTAAAACCTCATTGTCGGCTTGGTTATGGGAGAAACATGACCAATGATACAGTGTTTGGCAAAAGTTTTGAGTGTGGGGGAGATAAACCTCCACATTATCTTTCTAAATGGCCCAGAAATGAAACACTGGTGAGGCTTGGGGTACGAACAGAAGATGTCAGTGCCTTCTTCTGAGATACTGTCCTCTCCCTGCCAATCAGATGGCAGATGTCTTCATATTTCACAAGTACATTCACAATGAGGAGAAACTCCCTTCAGATAGATATTTGGCATAAATACGTCAGCATCACAAGCTTGGGGTAGGGGAAAAAAGAACGTGATTGGTGAGGTGACATTTGTTACAAAAGGACTTTGGAAATGAAAAGGTAACTGCTGGAGTACTTTCCTTCCCATCATTTGGGGAAGGAGCTGGGTCCACCCTAAGGCTCACTGGTGGAGAGATGGGGCAATGTGGGAGCCCTCCAAGGTCTTTCAGAGAGCAGAGCGACTTGGGATTGCTAATCATGTGGGCTCCACATGTCTCCAGCTTGGAGTGTGAGTGAGGGAGTCACCCTTTGAGCCAAAGGAGTAGAGGAGGGAAAGAGGAGCCCTCTTGGGGAGACACTGAGCCCCTCCCTCATCCTTCAGGGCAACCTGTTGGCCTCAAGGCAGGTCAAGTATGGTGGGGCTGGGTGTGGGGTTTCCTTGGAGTTTAGGAGCTGGAAAATTGGATGTGCAATCAAGTAGTTTTGTCCCTGATTTCCAAAAAGCAGGGGCCCTGCAAAGAGTCTGCACCATAATTTTATATTTCAGAGGAGAGGGACTGCGAGTTTGGCATTAGATACTGAACGCCAGCCGTTTGTATCGGTAGAGTTTGTTACATGTCGGAACATGCTTTGGCAAGAAAAGAGATACTCATTGATTGTTTTCCCCAAATATGGTCTACACGGGAGGGCTTCCTTGGGGGACCCTTGGTAAAGGTAGCTGCTCACGACTGGGAAATGAAAACAGCAAGATCAGTAATGCCCACGGCAAGTGTGCATATGTAGGCAAATCTTAGTATGGACTTCTGAAATAGTCCCACACGTGGTGAGTTTTCTTAAAATTAAAATAAAATATACATGGTGGGAGGAGGGAGGATTTTGCTCCTGAGATGTGGTTTCAGAGGAGAAGTCTCTGTGGCTGGTCCTCAAACTCATGCTGTTGACCCATCTTCTATCCTGAAAACTCCACATCTGTTTTCCCATGGTGATGGGTAAGAACCAGCGAAGGGATCAAGCATCAGAGGCTGAGAGGAGAGTGGTTCAACCTTTAGACAATTAAACAACCAAATGCATGGAAGGAAGTTGCCTCTTAAGTGGGGAGGAGGGAAAGGATTATTTGGAGAGATCCTAAGTGTGTGGGCTCATCAAAAACACCTCCCGGCCTACCCTCTTTCTTCTGGCCTCTTTCTGGGCAAGTGCTCTTGTCAGAAACAGGGGTGGCTGCCAGCAAAAAGTGTCATTGGCCTGAAGACTCCCAGGATCCGGACAACACCCTTCAATCCAAACCTGTCTTTGCCCAGGTCTGGTCTCATAGCCACTGGGCCTGAGGGCTCGTATTCATTTGCAAGGCTGTTCTACGAACTGTCAAGAAGGACCCAAAGATGGATGGTTGTGAAGTAGGGGAGAGGGGAGAGAGTACTGCACAGGTGGGGGAGGGACGTAATACTGCATGGAATGGGATTGGCACTTATTTTCAAAAACAACAGTGATCAACAGCTTTTTAGCTCAGTTGACTGCAGACAAAGACGACACACAGTGGACTACAGCGTTTGTTCACCGGGGCGCAGAAGAGCCTCCTCAACCGGCCCCTCTCCTTCCACGTCACACCCTTCCTCTTCTCCCGCCGGGGCCCCAGGTTACTGGATGAAGGGCATCCGCTCCTTGTTCTCGCTGTCACCCTCATGGTCTTCCTCCTCTTCTCCAGCCTCGCTGGTCTCTGTGCTGTCATTGGCCATCTGCAATTCAACAGAGTGTGGGTTAGAAGGTCTGCGATCTGGCTCCTGCCTTCCCGGGGCATCTGAGGAAGCCCTGCGGGAAGGACTCCTTCAGGGGCTACGAGTTAGGGTTGTTTCCTTCCTCAGGAGGGCAGTGTGGTAGTAGCTATTTTAGGGTGGCCGGTCTGACATAAGGATGTGAGAGCAGGGATTTGGAAGCGCTGGTAGAGAGTAAGGCGATGAGACAGAAAAGGCAAGGGGGAGTACAGGATGTGTTAATCAGTAGGCTCCCGATGTGGGCAGCTAGGGCTTGGTCCTCCTGGGGACCGCTGCGAGACAGTGGGGGGCACACCTCACAGTCGTCCCTCATGAAGGGGAAGAAGCCAGGGAATGGCTCAGGTGGGCATCTCCTCGGCATCTCTGGCCAAACACGCTTCTGGGGCTGGAGGCTCTCAGACGGAGGGGCCAGGTGCTGGGGGCCGTGCGTAGGCACTGATAGCGTCTGCTGCACTAGCCATGCTCGAAATCCTGGTGCTGTCACTTACCAAGAAGCCAGAACAACAATACTAACAAATGCACATCTGTCTCCTTTGTTGTCTACACAGAACGCCGTGTCCACAACGATCTGTCTCCTTTGTTGTCTACACAGAACACCGTGTCCACAACGGTGGACTTCTCCCTTTTGTGTGTTGTTACAATGGGGATAAGCCCATCTGCTATCATGAGAACCAAGTGAAACAAAGTAAAGTGATGTATCTGAAGCATCCAGCAAAGGGCCGAGCCCATGACAGATGCTCAAGACATCCTGGTCCCGTCCACTAGCAGCCCCCTTAGTGAACTGGGTCTCAGATTTCCACTCCTAAGCTCTAATCTAGGTCATTTGCCTTGAGCCCCACATCTTGGCCTGTGCTCACCACTTATTCTTTCAGACAGGAATTGGACCCCCGGCTCTCAGGCCTCCTCATGTTGCCTGTCCTGGAGCTGAACTTGCCCTCCTGGCCACATGCAGTGTCTTCTTCCTGGAGTGTCAGCCCGCCACTCCCTCCCCTAACTGGTGCCTACTTTACCTTTAGCACTCAGCCCGCTTCCTCAAGGAAGCCTTCCCAGACTTCCCTAACTGGAACGATTCCCCCCACGATGAGCTCTTTTTGTAGCACAGATCAGCAGTGTCCCATCTGCACAGATGGTCTCTTGACTGCTGAGCACCTGCCCCACCGTGGGAACTGCAGACACCGTGGGAGATGACCTGGTGTCCTGAGGTCTTCCTGTTGTACCCTCTGCACCCAGCATGGTGCCTGGGACATAGTAGCATGCAATACGTACTCTGAGAATGGCGAGTGAATCCTCGTGAGAGCTCTGGGGCGCCTGGGGGTCTCAGTCGGTTAAGCGTCCGACTTTGGCTCAGGTCGTGATCTCAGTTCGTGAGTTTGAGCCCCACGTTGGGCTCTGTGCTGACAGCTCAGAGCCTGTTTCAGATTCTATGTCTCCCTCTCGCTGCCCCTGCCCTGCTCACACTCTGTCTCTGTCTCTCTCAAAAACAAATAAACATTAAAGAAAAATAATCACTCCCTTCTTAGTATGTATCCCCAGTTCACCAGGGTGCCAGGGAACTTCATGCACATTACCCCTTTCTACCTTCTCAGCAAGAAGTAGCAGGATCAGTAACTACTGCCCCACGTGCACGGATGGCCAGTGCACACGGACCCTCAGAGGTGACGCACCCGAGGCAGTGGTGGGCCAGCAGAGGTCAGCAGGCCTCGGAAAAGGCCACCGTTGTTCCCAGGGGCACCGGTGAGGACAGGGCCAGAGCTGCCCTCTGATACCGCGGGGTCTGGAGGAAGCAGCCCCATCTGTGCTGTGACCCTGTGGCCGGCCCATCATCCGACAAGCCCAGCTCCGCCCCGGCTCAGCCTCATTGAGGGAAGGTCCTCTGCAGGGGAGACTTCACTCTTGGTGTCTCCTGGCAAAGCCACTTCCAGAGCTGTGGGCAGTGCCCACCCACGCTGCCCACACACCTTGGAGGCCCGGTAGTTCCTAGGGGAGGGGGAGGGCCGTGCAGTGTATTCACCTGGTCAGACCCAGGGCCCTTGACTCGGCCTGAGCTCTGAACGTGGCCATCCTAGTAGAAGGCGCCTCTGTAGGCCCCTCACGGCCCCCACCCCCAACAGCTGCCGAGCGGGAATGACACGTTCCTGAGGAGCCTTGACCCTGCGCCACTGCCTTTCCTGTTAGGTGCTGGTCATAGAAAAGACTGCAGCGGACCCACCTTGGGTCTCACGATGCCCCCTGTTTGGCCTGACGACATGTTCCTTCTCCTTCAAGTCTCGTCTCTATGCAGGCAGGCCAGGCCTTCCAAACGCCCCGGGTCTCAGTTGGCCACTCCCCACATCTCGTTGTTTCTGTGGGTCCTAAGGTAAAAGCCTCCTGAGCTTCAGAGGCCAGGACCATGGAGGCTCTGAGGTCTTACCCTCAAAGTGGGGCTTTTCAGCGCCTGCTCTGATGAGAACCCTAGGTGGTCAGACGGGCCTCCCCAAAGCCCGAGGGCCCAGCAGCGCCTCGGCTTGTGTAACAGACACAGGAAGGAGCTGATATCAGCTGTCTTGCTTGAAACAATCTTTCCAGGATGGCTCTAGATCCCCTCTGCTGATGGGGTAAAACAGACCCGGTCATGTGTTTTAAGAACAACAGAAGTGCACCGGAAGACCGAGAGCCCAGCCTCTGTCTCCTCATCTGCCTTCGACTGTTTGTGCAGTCCTAGAACTTAGTAAGCACTTAATAAACGATGTCCCTGTGATTATCCGTCACTTGCACTTTGTGAAATGCCCTCTCATGAAATCACCCTTCAATGAGTGAAATGACCACCATTCCCGAACTACATTAAGGTCACAAAAGCCAAGGAAACACTTACACATACACACACACACACACACTAAAACATGCGAAGATTTTAGTTCTTTGTCTTTTAGAAATGCCTGATGCAGGTTCAAGACTAAACAGGTGAGAAAGCAAACAAACAAAAAACACTTCCAAAGTCTTTTCTTTGTTAATTGTTTCCTAGGACTTAGTATGCATGGGACGATGCATTCTGTGTATTACTCTATTGACTCGGGAAAACTGCTCATGCTCCAGTCTGCAGACAGGGCTCCCGACGATGGAGCCTCGGGACAACCGCCCAGGGTCACCCACCGGAGAGGGGAGCCAGGCTCTGAATCCACGCAGTCTGATGGGGCACTGGGTTGGCCGCACACTCCGTTGCCCCCTCCCACCACCGGCGGCCCAGCCAGCGGGTTAGGGAGTGAATTGGACATGCTTCCCTCCTGGGGGGATCCCTGGATGTAAGGGTACCCTTCGGAGGCCGGGGCAACCTTCCGCTGAGGATGTGCATGTGAATTTACTGGATTTCATCAGCAATTCCTCCCACCGGCGGCAGCCAAGGGGCAGCACCTGTGATAGGCACAGGTCGGTTATTCCTATTCTGTCCCGACTGCCCTCAGATTGCTCTTGAAACGCTCGCACTGAGGCATCTCCTTTCCTTCTCAGCACGCATCCCCGTGTGTGACTAATTACTCACGTGCATGGTCTTTGATTACACAGGTCTCCGCGAGCCAGAGAACTGCCTGCATTTCCCTCTCCCCGACCTGTGCCTGTATCTCATAGACCCTCTCGTGTTAAACCGACCGGATCTCTCCGCTGTCGACTCACCAGTGGAGTCGGGGTCTTCTCTACATCCAGAATTAACTTGCCGATGTTTCCCCGGTCGTGGATCCGCTGCATGGCCTCCTTCACCTGAGTCAGGAGAAAAACGGAAGCGCTGATTGGGTGGAAAGTTGCCCCCGTGGAAAAGCCAAACCACCCGCCGCCCACCTGGGGGCGCTGTGGTTCAAGGTTAGCCGCTTAGGCCCGGGATGGTTTGGGACCCTGGGTGCAGATAAATTCTGATTGCGTCACTCATGCCCCACGCTGAGCTCGTGCAAGCAGCTTGGTCTTTCGGGTCTAAGAAATGAAAGTGATAGTCCCTGAAATAAGACGACGAAATTTTCTTTTAAAGAAAAAAAAGATCGGGGAGGCTGGTTAGTGAGGAGGAGGGTACTGTGGGGTTTCAAGAAAGACAGGGCACATCAGACAGAGAAATTCTGACCAGTAAAATTATTTTTCTCAAAGTCACTTGTGCCCGGTTTACCAAAATGTTACATAACTCGGAATCATAGTTAAACTAAAATAAACGATGCATTACCCAAGCTAAACTATATTCAGGAAAATTCCCTTAGATTACTCCCAGTTATTGGGTGGACATTTTGTTTCCACTTAAGTAGAGGTTTCTCCAGAACTAGTATTCTACCCAGAGAAGAGGATCTAGTTTTCCTTTCAAATGAGAAAGGCTTCCTTAAAAAGCAAGCCTGTGCTCCATCTGATTTATGCTTTGAGCATTTCACTCTGTGGCTGTGCAGAAAATGAGCTGTAGGGGGCGGGGGTGAGGATTAAATGAGATAAGGAAACGCAATCATTCCCGGTGCTTGGCAAGAATAGGACCTCCACATCTCTTAGTGAAACCTCAATGGAAATACAACGTCTCTTGATTTAAAAAAAAAAAAAAAAAAAAGTTACCTAAGATCTAGCCTAAATATTTTTTCCTGAAGTCTCAGAGTTTTTAATATTTTTGTTCACTCAGTCCAGTCCACAAGTATTCATTAAATGTCCTCATAGGCTACAAGACATAGTTTTTGTTTTTGTTTTTTAATTTAAACTAAGCTGAGATGTCTGTCTTTGAAGAACTCAATCTGGAACTGATTGAGTAGTGTTTGCTCGAAAAACCAAAGCTGTCTTGTCATTTGGATAAAAACTTGACAGGACCATTAAAATGTGCATGCTCTAATTGCTTCTCTGAGACTTATCCTAAAGACATAATTCACACTGTGGGGGGAAAAAACCACACAAAAGATACTCAATCACAGCATTGCTTTTAGTGGTAAAATACTTGAAGCAACTTCTGTATCAGAGTGAAGGAATGGTTAAGTAAACCACAACACTTCCATTTATCTACAGAATGGAAATACTATGTGGCAATCAAGCTGCTGATTACAAAGAATGTACAGCAGGGCAAGATGCCTTTGTAATACTGCTAAATGAGAAAATCGAGAATGCATATTTTTATTTACATCCCCATAAAAACACGGACATCCTAAAATAATCAGAAAGGGGTTCAGACACATGGTAAACCAACCATTAGGAGAAATGAGTGCCTTTTAACTCCAAACATTGTTATTTGGCAATGTGTTATCAAATCAGTATTTAATATAAGTTAAATGCAGATTTAAATGTAGTCTTTGGAAAACCTAGCTTTGGTTAAAATCAGCCCCTTTTATAGGCTGATAGTGTCATATGATTGTTAAATTTTCTGACTCTACTGCATATGCCAGTAGATTTTTTATTTCTGTGGTGAACGATGCTTTTCAAAATGCTGTTACGTCTGGTCATAACACCTATATGCCGAAAATGTTTAAAAATCATGGCGGACAGCCTCCAAAATGGCTCCCAACCTTCCTTTCCTCCTGACACACACCCATGGGTAACCCCCTTTCCCTAGAATGTGGGCTGGACCTGCTCACTTGCTTCTGACCATTAGAAAATAGCAAAAGTGGGGGCGCCTGGGTGGCTTAGTCGGTTAAGCGTCCGACTTTCGCTTGGGTCATGATCTCGCGGTTCGTGGGTTCGAGCCCCGCGTCGGGCTCTGTGCTGACTGCCAGCTCAGAGCCTGGAGCCTATTTCAGAGTCTGTATCTCCCTCTCTCTCTGACCCTCCCCTGCTCACGCTGTCTCTCTCTCTCTCTCCTAGAAATAAATAAAAAATATTAAAAAAAAAAAAATTTAAAAAAGTGACCCCTTTAGTGTCTAAGAGGACAAGTGGCTTGCCTTATGACTAGATGAAAATCCAGATTATTTCCTTAGAATTTGGTTTAAAAATTAGCAAAAGTATTCCTGCTTAATAGATCANGTCTCTCTCTCTCTTCTAGAAATAAAAAATATTTAAAAGAAAAAAGAAAATAGCAAAAGTGATGGGATGTCAGCTCCAAGATTAGGTTATAGAAGACTGATTTCTGTCTTGTAGTCTCTTTCTCTCACTCTTCTTGCCTTCTTGCTCTGACAACACCAGCTGCCATATTGTAAGCTACCCTAGGGGGAGGCTCACACAACAAAGCGCTGAGGCAGACCTCCCACCGACAGCTACTGACCATGATACCCTCGGTCCAAAAGCCCATGAGGAACTAGATCCTGCCAACAACCAGTGAGAGAGCTCAGAAGCAGATCCTTCCCGAGTTAAGCCTAGAAATGAGAATCAGCCCCAGCTGACACCTTGATTGAAGCCTTGGGAGATCCTGACCTAAAGGACCCAGCTGAACCATGCCCAGCATCCACACCCACTTAAAGTGAGATCACAAATATTGTTTTAAGCCAATACGTTTTGGGAACAATTCGTTATGCAGCAATAGAAAACTAACATTCTAACCTTTCATACATAGTTCTTATCTTGTAAGATATATGTTATACCCATTTTACAGGTAAGTACCTTGATGCTCAAAGAGCAAAGCAATCTGTCCAGAGACTATATGGCTATCAGTGACAGAATTGTGGTTCAAACTCAGGTGTGTCAGACTTCAAAACCAACGCTTTCCCCCAGTTCCACCCAGACTGTGTTGTTTCATTTGATTCTCAAAGGCAGAGGAAGGTGGTAGGTAACATTTCCCATAATGACTTCCCAGAATTCAGTTGTTTATTACCTTGACAAGTCATTAAGCACCTGGAAACTCCTTGGAGATTCAGAACAATTTTTGTGCTGTTTCTCCAATAAGATAGAGCCCAGGGAAACTGAAAAGCTGTTTTCTTTCCAGTTAAAGCTTATTGTGATACTAGAAAAAAGCCCCCTGTAGGGCTGGCTCTAATCTGCATATTTTTTTGGACAATTTCTTTCTGAAATGAACTGACTCCTTGAAGTTCCTTCTGTAGGGGACGGAGAAAGGGTTAGGAATCTTTCTGAGACATGTCTGCGGTAGCCCGATCCCCAGTCACGCTGTTCGAGTTTAACATCCTCTTAGGCTGCTCTTGGAGATGTGATAGAGCTCTTTTGATGACAGCTTAGAAGGAAAGAAATTACTATTTTCTGATCAACTTTCTTTTGTCAGCTGAAGCATCTTACATACGTTGCTTCTTTTTATCTGCACACCTCAGGTTCACAGATGAGAAACCTAAACGTGACAAATATAAGGAATCTGTCCCCGGTCACCAAGTAAAAGGTGGTTCAAACCCCTTGGGAACTGAGAGAGCAGTTTCCCCTTTTCAGGACGCCGGGCAAAACCCAGGACAGGGCTGTGCTCTCTGCACCCCAAAACTGCCCTCATAGAACGCCACCGCGAGGTAAAGGCTGCAAAAAGAGACGATGCTCCCGAAATACCAGTTTGTAAACTGAGGTACCTCAGTAGGTGACAGTGCCCAAAAGATGGCAGTAACGACTCCCAGAGAGCTCCTTGTCTCTCTTGGGGCTACCATTTTTGTTCTTCCCCCTAACGGTCACTTCTGCTTCTAACCTTTTCCCATCGCAGTTGATGATGGGAAAAACTTAGTAGCCCTGCATTGCCTAATGCAGTGGCCACAAGTCACACGTGGCACTGGGCCCCCGACACAGGGCCAGCACAGACTTCAGTGTGCTGTGAGTGTCAGCCACGTGGCCAACTTCAAAAACAACGAGTGCCTACACACTATCTCATTACGAGCTATTGACATCAATCAATGGCGGTGAAATGATAACATGGTAAATATTCTGGGTTAAGTAAAACATACTACTAACGTTAACTTCCCCCACTTTTTACTTCTCTGGATGTGGCTACTACAACATTGAAAATGTGGCTTGTGGCTCACGTTGTCGTCCTGCTAGACAGCACTGGACTGACTTCTCAGGAGCTGACATCTGTCGTCCTTTCTGGCGTCACTACTTCCTCTTACGCCTCCCTCGCCCCTGCCACTGGACACTTATCTGAAGGTTACTGGGCTTCTCAGCTTTGTGCCTCTGTCTACACGGGGTTCCTTCCTGGAATGTTCCGGTCCTGGAGCTCACCTGGATTTGTCCTGGGGCTCCAGTTCTAGATGTGAACCTTTCCAGGAAGCTGCTGTGCATCCCCACTCCCACCTCTTGCATTTGGGGCCAAGTCTCCTTTGGGCCCCCTTAGCGCCTCAGGCCAGTGATAAAGTCACCCTCACCCACAGCCTGGAACTTGGCCCCTCTTCCCTCCATTACGTTAGACCAGCGCCGTGCAGTGGTGAGATGAAGTGGGCTACAGATGCACTAAAATGTCTCCAGTTACTCACGTTAACAAATGTAAAAAGAAACTGGGGAAATCAATTTCAATCATATATTTTCTTTAACCAATTCTATCCAAAATATCATCACTTCAATATATACTCTACATAATAAAGCCTTCACGAGATATTTTATATTCCTTCTTTTTCCCTTTGTACTGTGTCTGGAGCCCAGGGTATATTTTGTTCTTACAATGTGTTTCGATTCAGATGAGCCATGCTTCATGTGCCCGGTGGCTGCACATGGCTCATGTCTACCATACCGGGGAGTGCAGCTCCAGGCAGTGGGACAGTGGCACCAACCTCAGGGACCCCCCCCGTGCATAGGAGTATCTGGTGTATGGTAGCCTCCAGAATGAATGGATGGATGAATAAGCAAGTGGGGTGTGGAGAGAGTGAAATGTCATGTGGCTGGGCCCCACGACAGGTTTCTGTCCC